ACTGCCAAAACATCTTAGGGAAATATTCACGCAAGCGAGATTTGAACAGATTGGCACAATGGTCAGATATGGGAGATTCCACTCTATACTCTATGAACGTCTCTGCATCTGTGGAGCGGCAGAGGCTGAGGACTTGGCTCACATTCTATTTCACTGCTGCCTATATAAGAGGGTGAGAGACAGGTACCTTGGCCTATACACTAAACCAGACATATCAAACTCGAGACGTCACATGACGTTGCACAACGTATTGGGACGGTTTTGCCATTGCTGGCAATGGGGTGGGCGCGGCTTCTGGATGATACGTCCGGCCCACGGACTGGCAGTTTGATACCCCTGCACTAAACGAATGACCCATTGGGACCCCCATATCAAAATAACTTACCTTATGTGCAGCCAGAATTTGAAAATTACATTTAACACAGCACAATACCTGAACAAAATGATTCTGAATGAGATCGGCATATGTGAGACTGATTGGGGTAGATTGTAGGGGTGATAGTGAAATATAATTTATCATATTTTATCTATCTACATCTTAAATTGCCATATTTGATTCTAACTTCATTTTAAAAATGTATTTTATTCCAATTTCATTTTAAATTGTATTTTATTTCTATTTTATCCTAAATTATATTTTAACTAACTCCATTCTAAATTGTTTTTACTACATTTTTAGTATAACATGTGTTTGGAACTCTGCACCTTGATATGGCCCACAGGCTAATCAATAAAGATTATTATTATTATTAATCATATATATGACACAGCTTTCCTGGTTTAAAACTTAGAAATCTTTTAAAGAAGCAATGTAAAAGGAAATATGCTGCTTGGCCTCATATTTATTTATTTGGCTTAGATTCTATTATTCATTCAGGAGTTGAAGGTGAGGTAATTAGTATTTCATCCTCATAGTTGTCATTGGAACAAGTTGGGCTAAGAAAGGATATCTTGGTCAAAGTCACCCAGTGAGCTTCTGCAGACCAGAATCTGGATCTCATTCTCATAGTCCAGCACTCTATCACAGTCACCATTTGGCCTAGTTTAGTCCATTATACTGGTACTAGTGTTTCTCAGGTTTGGCAACTTTAAGAGGTATGGACCTGAACTCCCAGAATTCCTCACTAACATCATGGAAACACAGCGTTATAATACACCTGCTCAACTGGTGGTGCAGGTTCTATATACTGATTACTGCATCCACCCATGCAGTATGCTTATTTAGAGACCTCCAGAATTGCACTTTATCTTCAGCTAAGGGTCAACAATTCTAGGTCAATGAAGTAACACTGGGATTTCTGGGAATCATTCTGAAAACAGAATGTTATGGAGTCCTTGGGTCAGCTTCCATTGTTATGCTTTCATATCATCCTTCATCATTTATTTCTATCTGTTAAGGAAAACAAGATTTAGGTGCTTTGCCCTGTAGCTAGTATCTGGATTTCTGCACTGTTCTAAGCCAGAGTTTATGCAGCCATGAGAAAAATTGCAGAAGGAACGTATCTTTATCAGAACTATGTTAATATATAAGTTAATTTATGCATCAATGTTTATAAGATGCTCCATTTCCTAAACTTCCTCGCAACGCATATAGGCAAAGCCTGGTACAGAAGAGCCATCTGAGAGTCCTCTGGCCAAGGGAAACTTCAGCCAGAAAGGCTGGTGCTGAAATTCGGGCAACACGCAGGTCCTTTAGAGAGTTTCCGAAGGGCCCCGACTCCCCCCGCCCCGTCCCGCCGCTCCCACTTTTCACGGAATAAAAGTTGGTGAATTTTGAAATAGAAACCGCAAGCCGACACAAGGAATGCGTGGCTGGATATTTGGGGCCTTTGGCTCTTGATTTGAGCGGGTCTTGCAGCGTCTTAGCCGAGAAGCAGTTGGGAGCTCAGGAGCCCCTTCAGTCCGACTAGGTGCTTGGGATCCAATGGTATTTAGGAGGACCAATGCCCATCTAATACGGACGGCGCCACCGCCCCGCTCCTCAGTAGCGCCTTTCATTGTCGCCCACGTCGATCTTGCCTTAAGGACCATTGACAGAAATTAATGAGGTCGGGCACACCTTCCAGCCCATTTGCTGATTCTCCGGAGAAGGTGCGGGCAGTCCGCGGAGAATCGCCCGGCAAATTGCCGAGGCTCCCGGTTCACGATCGCTTGCGAAGGGCCGCGGCAGGAGGAGGCGATAGCCAGAGGAGGCGAAACCTCTCGTTGATTAAAGGCAGCCCTGCGCTTCGGAGCCGGGACAGCGGCTAGCTTTTCCTCTTCTCGGCCATGCTTCCGAGCACCCTCGCTTGGCACTGCGGAAGTTCCGCCGCTCTGCTCGGTTTGCCCGGGGCTTCGGGTTTTGGCAATCTGGGCAAAAGTTTCCTAATTGAGAACCTGCTGAAGGCCGGCGAAAGCCCGTCACGCCTCCCGCCGCGGCTGCCCGCCACTCCGATCCCGCTCAAGTTGCAGGAACCAATGCGCGTCGCCGGAGAAGGTGCTTTCCCCGTCTGCGCCTGGCCTTTCCAAGCTTTGAATGCTTCAGCAGCGGGCTATGCGGCTCCGGAGGACAGAGGAGGCGCGTTCCCAGCAGCAGCCCCAGGTAACCGACTACCTCCCGTGAGCCTACCTCCAAGATGGAAGAAGTTTCTGGGATTTCGCTTTTAGACCTGCGCAAACGCTGCGCTCTCCTAGCAAGCGCTTTCTGTCAACACTAACGGGGTTCACAGATCGACGTCAGTCATCCTGGGTTGGTTGGTTCCGAATTAGCATGTCCTGTGGATGCTGGGACGTGTGTGGGAGTCCAGCCAGATACTATGGCTTAGTGGGTTGTGTAAACACACCCGGGTATAACTTGTTAAGTGAACAAATCATTGCTTAATGTAGGATGTGAATCAAGGTTTATAGAGCAACTCCACAGATAACGTTTCTGAATTCAGTTTTTAATTTCCATAGATTTAGTTCCAGGTGGGTGAGTGGTGCCTTAGAAATGCTTTAATCAGATGGGAACCCAATGGGAGAGTCTATGTCAGAGAGAGGCGTAATACCCTCCTTGGGTGATCATAAGCTCGGCTTCATCCCGCTACATGGATCTCTCATTTCAACAGTTCTGATCATAAGCACCACCACATCAGGATGGTTGAAATACTCAGGATAAGATGAAGAATTAACTTGGGACAGAATCAGGTTCTCAGTCTGGTAAATGGGTAAATATTTATGCTTTAGTAAACATAGAGGATTCTACCCCATTATTAGCTTGCAGCGTATTTTCAGATTCATAGAAATGACATAGTATGCTAGTATTTTCTTTGTAAGGCTGCTGATACCAGCAGCCTCTTACTTAACAAGCGTTCTTTTACTTTTTAATCAGTGGAAGGCTACTGTCAGCTTTCTTACATCTCACATTTGAAACATGTCTTATTGACCCCAATCTGTATATATTCAGCAGGGCCTGCAGAAGAAACTAATCACCTAACCTTTTTTCCAACCAGGGTTCATCAAACAATGACTCTTTCATTGTCAGCAACCTATTTATGGCATTTTGTACTACTTGCAACTTCCAAGGAGAGTGTGTTGCCTTAAAATGGTCATAGATGCAAATGCTATTAAATGGAGTGATAGATAGTGCTGCTTCAGATTTATATAGCTTTTTAAAGTATTCTGATATTTTTGTATCCATTGCCTTAGCATGAATTGAGGAATAATAGTTACTAAAATTAATAATTAAAACAAGACATGTCTAGTAATTAATTAAACTTCAAAGGCTCATGATTTGGTGCAATATTTTCCAGACAGCATTTGCTTAATCGTAAAATTTAGCAGATTAAGTATGCAACACACACTGATTATTTTAGTCTTGCTTATACTGTAGACTGTTTCTTCTGCTCAGATTGATAAAGCACAAAATATACATTAATAACTGACATGAAAAAGCTTTTAAGCAACTTTATCCCGGGAAAAATAAAAGTTTTACCAATAATCTCAGTAAAGCCTGTGAACACTGGTTGAGCTGGGTAGCCTTATAAATCTTATAAATAAATAAATATAAATCTTGGATATTATTGCAGCAGATACTCAGAATTTTAAATTCTTCTGAATTGAAAATATGCAAATATTTTCATCAGCAGTGTTCTACATACAGTTGAGACTTCATTTAATTAATTTGTTACTAAAGTTCCAGTTTCTGCCAAATATAAAGTTACAGTGCTGTTCCAAAAATAATTTGCCTAAATTTGTGACAATTTCTCTGTATGAATTCATAATTTTGTCTGTAGTAAATCCCTTTAGTATGATGACATTTAAAAGGTCAAAATTGTGATTTGTTTTGTTTCCAAATATCACGATTGTTTTGTTTCCAAATATAACAGCACTGAATTCTAAAATTATGTTTTAAAACCCACTCATTAATAAAGCACATATGTAGAAGATGTAATCTATGGAAATACAGAGGTAAAATCTGTACATTACACTGGAATAAAATAAGTGGGTCGTTAGCAGCAAATGGATTATAAAGGAGAACTAGTGATCACTCTTATTATAATAACTGGATTGTGAATTTAGTATTTCCCTTTAAGTAAAAGTGTATTAATTGAACATTGGCCTGAAACATTTTATTAGAATAAATTAAACAGTATTAATTGTCCTTTCAAGTCACCCACTCAGTATCTGAGGCAGTTGCTGATATTTGTAGTGTGGGGTATTTTTGTGTTGGGATGCAGCCTTAAAAGATAGATAACAGAAGAAATCAATATATGAAAATTGGTGACATGGTCCTGGTGATATAAGTATATTATTGGTTTGGAGTTAACAGTTTCACATGTTAGAAACCTGGAATCTGTGTTCATTGAAAAGAAGTACAAATGTAGTTTTAAACAAAGTATAATATGGTAATGAACTGACTCCTTAGCAGTTTCATTTTGATTAAATCCCTTTTACTTCTATGAGATTATATAATTCGGATTTCTACTTCAGTAATAAGATAAAATAATATCTACTGCAATTTTCATAGCTCAAATTCAAAAAACCTAGGCAGCCACTAGATCTGTGGTGGCAAACCTATGGTACGCGTGCCACAGGCGGCACAAAGAGCCGTCCCTGTGGGCATGTGCACCATTGCCACAGACAGAGGGACACAGGGCCGGGCTCCTCCCCTCCCCCTCTCCATGCATATGGAGTCCGGGAACAGCTGTGAGAGCTGGGCGGAGTTAGGGAACCTATAAAAGGAGCAGTTTTGGCGAGAGAGTGAGTGAGTGGCCTTTGGAAGTGACCAGTGGTGGGTTTCAAATCATTTAACAACCGGTTCTCTGCCTCGCCTTCCCTCCGTCTTGGTCTGGCTGGGCTGCTTGGGGGGTCGGCTGGGGTGGATGCAGGAAGGTGGGGGTCATCAGGTCCAGCTGGGGGAAGGTGAGGGGTCTGGCTAGGGGGGGCGGGCGGGAGGGACGGGACGCCTCCATAGAGTAAAGCTGCCCCCTCGCCGGCCAAGCCTCTCATCCATACTGTGGTCATGTAGGATTGCATAGAAGTGGCACAGGCCAGGGGGCTGGGGGGGCGGCTGGCAGGGGGGAATCAGAGCTGCATGTTTATGTTTTGTTTATGTTTATTTAGATTTGTATACCGCCCTATCTCCCTTACGGGACTCAGAGCGGTGAACAGGCGATAATAAAAATCACAATAAATATCTATTCTAAAATCAAATTAAATAAATAAAGGCCTGCTCTAAAATACCCCATATAAAAACCGAAAAAGGCGTAGGTCCGCAGTTGTACGTAGGTCGGGGGGTAGGTCATTCCAGAGGGCAGGAGCTGCCACAGAGAAGGCTCTCCCCCTGGGGGTTGCCAGCCAGCATTAACTGGCCGACGGCACTCTAAGGAGGCCCTCTCTGTGGGAGCGGACTGGTCGAAGGGAGGTATGTGGTAGGAGGCGGTCTTGCAAATACCTAGGTCCATTGCCATGGAGCGCTTTAAAGGTTGTTACTAACACCTTGAAGTGCAACCAGAAGGCCACAGGCAGCCAGTGCAGCTCACGCAGGAGAGGTGTTACATGGGAGTATCTAAAGGCCCCCAAAATCCCCCGCGCGGCCGCATTCTGAACTAGCTGGAGCCTCCAGGTGCACCTCAAGGGGAGCCCCATGTAGAGAGCATTGCAATAGTCCAGGCGGGAAACAACGAGGGCTTGAGTGACCGTGCGTAGAGCGTCACGATCCAGAAAGGGGCGCAACTGGCGTATCAGGCGAGCCTGATGAAAAGCCCCCCT